TTGTCATATTCTAGACAAAATTTATATGAATATACTAAATTGTATGCAAAATCCATTGGCCGGATACTATCAGCAACAGCCTCCGGTGGGAGAGAACAAACTAGCTTCCAGCTGAAGAGGAAATTTGAAAAAGACGATGAGAATGGATAAAACATACATTACGGAAATCACCAAACTGCATCACGAGGCCAGCCCTAACTTGGAATTCTGAAGGGAAACGGAAAAGAGGGAGGCCAAATAACACATTACGTCGGGAAATAGAAGCAGATATGAAAAGGATGAATAACATCTGGAAAGAGCTGTTAAGGATTGGATGGATGGACAGGGTTGGATGGCGAATGCTGATGAGCGGCCTACGCTCCTTCACGAGGAGTAACAGGCGTAAGTAAGCAAGTAAGTAAACTGTATGTGAAACAAGATGTTATTATTATTAGCTTTATTCCATATTATATTTTTCGGCATAACATAAAATTCTCAGCACAAAGTTTTTCAACACGTTTCCGTCTCTTACTACTTAGTTGATCCTGACGATAACATATTGAGTGATCACCAGTTAGAAATTAGCAATCCAGTCAATCGACATCTAAAAAATATACATTCTTTTTACATACATATTTCCAGCAACCACGATATCTCTGATTGGGTTTTTTTGTAACTTGGACAACGAAAGGTTGTAGACTTTTCAGAAACGCACTTAAATGGTTTATGCAATTAATAGCCATATTGATGTATTAAAACAAACAAAATTAGATAACTTTTTGAAATATCTAGATGGTAAGAACAGGTAGCTCAGATGTTCAAGCGGACCGCTTGTTTTATTGGTCAGTTAGTCAGATATTTACATAAGTCATTTAGTCAACAATACAAACGCATAACTTTGAAGGTATTTATCAAATGTTTGGTAATTATAGCAGTTATGAAGAGAGCAAATAAATAAATACAAAAAATATTCTATTAAAAATTTTATTTTAATGGTGAAACTAAATACTTTGAATTTTATGTATTTTAAGAATTCACATGTGTAGTGTTCATTTTACCAAGAAAATAAAATGGAATTCCTGTGATGTAATCAAATATCCATAATGCTAACCGGTAATGTAAATGTAGAAACATGACCATAAATAATTGAAAGAAAATATACCTTTTTCAATGTGAGAAAAACTTCAGCATTAACCAAAAAGGATTCATGAGTGTATTATATTTAATGTAAGTTTGGATTATATAAAGTTTCGGTAGAGTAAAAGACATATGGTTTTAAGGAATTGAAATGGGATTTCATCTTGAATTGAACCATTGTAAACCAAGGTGTATGAGATAGCTGCTTCGTGACAATATAATATTTTTCAGTATTGACAATCCATGACTCAAATGGCAGTGGAAAACAAGATATTCACAAGGTTGACATTAAATAGCTATAACGTCTTGATCAACAATCTTGGTCGAGATTTTAATGGGAATAATGACAATCAAACCCATTGAAGATAACGAAAGATCAAAAAACAACTCTGTCATAGTTATTCAATAATTTCGATAGTGTAATAAGAAGACAAAGATTAACAAAACTACGTGAAGATATATTAGCGCAATACATTTCGAACAATCTGATCACATATATACTTGTTAAGAACATTTATACATAAAAATAAAAGATTAACCAGACTAGAAATAGTGGGTAAGAGGAAACAAGGATAATAAAGAAATAATATGAAAACGATTTGAAACATCTTCCCTCTGGGTAATAAGTTAATATTACTAGGGTAGGTTTAAGGTGAGAACAAACCGTTTTCGAATACACAGAGGGGTTTGAATTTTCGTATGGCTAAGGCTTCAATAAACCATAGTATATTCCCTTTCACATTTTTGTACAACACCACAAAAGTTGAGTTTAGATCAATCTTATGACCTGTTTTAATTATGTGTTTGGCAAAAGAGGATTATGGATGTTTATCCCCTATTCTTATTGGGTTATTCGATTCTATTTGTTTCTGCAACCATTTAGGTACATAAATGTATTAATATATTTGTAATATCCCAATGAATAGAAAAACTACATTTTCTGACTTTTCGTGACTATGTTTTGGTTATTTAGTCTCTGAAGAGGTGGCTCACACTGAGTCACGAAACGTCAGAAAATTTACTTTTTACATTCATTGGGATATTACAAATACAATAATTTATTTAAAACAATCGACCACTGTTCGATTTATTCGAAATTATCATGTCAAACCTTGGTAATGATACCTACATTTAGGTACATGTTCATACACTGATTTTTAGATCACAACTACTCCAGCTTTTAGGTTTTCGATGAAGCATGAACCCTGTTGTTTCCTGGATAATCACTTTTGCCGCACAATATGTTTTGTTAATAACTGATTTAAGCCTTTGCTTCAATAAAAAACAATTTGAATCACCTTTAAATGGTAAGGTGATGTAGACCGGCTTTTTTTTCAAGGCTATAGTAGGTCTTACTGTACCATGAACTGTGCATCTATTTATGAATTTAAGGGGATAGCCGTTTTGCATTAATGTTTTATTTAGCAACCTAACATTGTCATCAATGGCGTCATTTGTGTAAATACCATCAAGCCTTTTGATGGAGTTTTGTTCTCTGAGCTGGATGGTTTGGTCGTGGAGCTTTCATTGTTCTTCTGAACGACATCATCAGCACAAACTTCAGATAGAAGTGAAGTGTTCGAATTTCCCCATATGCATTTCACAGCTTGTTATGTACACCTCGACGTTGGTTGATTCCTATTGACCGATCAAGCCTGCTAATTAGGCACCTAATTGATTTGATTTTTTTTCCTATGTTTGCGCAAAATTTTCCTGATTGGTTGATAAATTGGATTGATTTCAATGTGCTTGTTGATTGCTGATTGACCTGAGTGCTAGGGTTCCAAAAATTCTCTGGTGCTTTCGAAATTTCCTCTATCCAAGATTTCCACATTTTTCCAATCAATTGAGTGTCCGCATTGGAAATGGAAAAATGTGGAAATCTTGGATAGAGGAAATTTCGAAAGCACCAGAGAATTTTTGGAACCCTAGCACTCAGGTCAATCAGCAATCAACAAGCACATTGAAATAGATTCAATTTATCAACCAATCAGGAAAATTTTGCGCAAACATAGGAACAAAAATCAAATCAATGGGACACACAACCAAAACAAAGAACTATGGCAAATTTAAGGTCAACAAGAACCAATCAACATCGAGGTGTACAGAACAAGCTGTGAAACACATCTGGAGAAATATGAACGCTCCACTTCTATCTGAAGTTTGTGCTGATGATGTCGTTCAGAAGAACGATGAAAGCTCCACGATCAAACCATCCAGCTCAGAGAACAAAACTCCATCAAAAAAAGCAACACTGATATTGAACTTTCTTGTGAAAACAAATTACAGTATAGTTTTTATCGTAGATTGAATAGAAGCAAGACAAGATTTTCTTGGAACTTTTTAAATTCTATGTTAAGAATTATTTGTCACCTAATAAATGGTCACTGATTAAGGCGATTATTATGTGAATTTCCGAATAATGAACTGACATTGACTAGATAACCAATAGAACTTAGATGTACTGGACAGCTACTTTGTTCTATAATAGAACTCCATGTGAGCTCAAACTCTGATCTTTAGGCCCTATGGCAAACAATTAAAATTCAGGACTATGGTTTGACATTCCGTGGTTCATATTTTAAACTTTAAATCTAACAACCTTCACAACACTCAAAATTAGCAGTCATCACATGATCGTTTGTTACTAATTTCGAAATGTAATACTGAGATTTCTAGTGGATCTTCAGAACATTGGAGTTGAAACACGTTATTTATGAGACATATCAGCAGTGCTATTCAATAACAGATGCGCAGTATTAAGAATTATTTTATTATAGTACAAAAGTTTAATAAACTCATAAACCAATAAAAATGTAAAATTAACGCAGTTTTCTTTCTTCCACAATGACTAGTTTCAGTATTTTCGGTTATGAATAATAAGCTTTGTTTCTTTCAACATAATTTTCCTATTTTGATTGCTATAAACCTTTCCTTTGAGTATTACAAAACCTTCAGGGAAAGAATATTAGGTATGTTGGATACATTATACTCCCCTTTTATATTAAATTTACTAAACATGTATAATTGAATGAGATATTGTTGTGATAAACTTTGCTGTCTTATTTCATCATCAAAATACATCAATGCGATTATGATAGAAATTAAGTTTAGCCGTTTGGCTTGATTTTACTTGTCATGGTTTGTGTGGGATACTATTTTAAAATGATACACATAGGGAGTTAATTAGAAAGGAACATATATGACTTGAGTGTTAGCGTTCATTGTTCATCACTATATTCCACATGAAGTTAAATTCGAAACACTATCTAGTTTCAGAGTGGTATACTCAATCTATTTTTATTGTGTCCAACTATCCAAAGCTTTACTTGGTTTACATTGTTATTTTTTCATGACTGTTTAATTGATTTGATTTGATTTCAGTAGGATTATTTCAGAATGACCTAAGCCTAATAGTGGAAATTTTTTGACATACTATTAAGAATATAGTGTAGGTGTTTGTTCTGGCAAAAAGAAATAAAACGTGGTTTGAATGCTTTCCTGATATTGTAACTGTGAACACATGCATGTGGTTTTATCAATACAAGTGAAAATAATGTACATCATGTGAAAATTCATATAAACAATGAAACGTAAGTGAATATTCATACGTATAATTTCCAGCTTAGGTGGTTTATGCATACGCATACGTTGACGCAATACAATTTACCATTATGCATACATACACATTAATCATATGGGTTATAAAAAATATCGTAGTTATAACGTATGAATTGAGAATGTAAGATGTATTGTTTACAAATCCAGTAAATAATTAATGTGAATTATTTCTAAGTAAAATATGTTAGTGTGTGCTCAGAGTAATCACTATCGATAAGTTTATATATTGATGTAATTTCTTTAGTTCTTTGACAATTCATGTAGTTTGTTGAAATAAGACTAGACTAATTTATTGTAAAGTTGTATATAATTGAACAGCGTAATAAAAGAATAATATAATTATTGATTTCTTGGATTGTTTTCCCATGGATATTTTAACAGATACATTACATGCATTACATATGAGATACCCTGAGATAAATTTATTTTTCATCAAAATAAAATCCATGGTTTCTTACTGATTAACTAAAATTTCCTTTTGATGGATACCTATATAATTGTCCACAGTACAATTATCTGTATTATATTTCTATTTTATGCATGTAACAATTATAAGCTATGACATCTAGTTCATCTCCAATGCACAATAATTGTAATAGCAGTTTTAATGGTAGCGGCTCTATCAACGGGACTTTGTGCAGAACCGGTAGTCTTGGATTTATTGATGAAGTGCTACGTTACTCTGGAACTAAACAATATATATTCTTACAAGTTCACGTCTGTGCAATTCACCAAGTGACTTTAGGAGATATATCAGATTTTCATGAAACAGATGCTTTAAGCTATATTGATAGATATTATAAAAAAAGAAGAGCTCATTGTACTGCAGCTTTACTAGAAGATCGAATTTGTTTACGACGTGTTAAACAGTCGGGAAAAATGCCATTTCATCCATGGGTTGTATATAATGAAATAAAGTATATATTCATAAGCCGGAAACGACCTGAATATTTTGTCTTGTGTATCGATTCAAATCATGACCGGAGAAAATACTATGAAATATACAAATGTAAATCAGCTGATGATGTTAAACAAATTGAAGAGAAGATGAAAGCAGCAATGAGGGATCCTGATAAATTACTACGTAAAATGCATATTTTAAGCCGTATTAGTTTACCTCCTAAAAATAATGAAAATCAAAAAGAGTTGGTTCCGAAGATCATGGTAGAAGATGTAAGTAAATTAAATGGTGATGAAGATAATAAAAATATTTGTAGTAATATTCATGATAATAATAATAATAATAATAGCAATAATAATAATAATCGTAATAATAACAATAATGGTGGTGGTGGTAGTAGCAGTAATGATAATAAAAGTGGTAGTGCTGACAATGAAATCGATGTCAAGAAAGACAAAAAATCTACTAGTTCCTTAAGTCCCGTCACACCAGTGAAAGATTTAACTCTTGAATCATTGAATGAAAATTATGTTGTATCTAGTATTTCAATTACTCCCATCGAATTTTTTCATCATTCACCTGAATCATTAATTTATCAAATAAAACAAAGTGTATACGAACCATCTCAGAATGCACATTCACTGCCCCATTCTATATCATCAGAAAGTGGAGATATTCATCTTGAAACTCGAATTAATGATATAATAGATAAAATAACATTTATTAATCATGATCCACTAAAAGGATTTTGTGAAAGTCAAAATGGAAATTTTTATATGTTTCTAGACCGTCAAGAATTTCATTTGAATAAATACATTGATAGAGAAGAGAGTTTTATCATATCTAATCAAAAAGAATGAGCACTTTAAAATTACCACTTATTATCAAAGAATTATAACTATATTTCTTCTTTCTTCTTCTTCCTCCTCTTCTTCTTCTTCTTCTTCTTCTTATGTTCATGACAATCATTACAATAGTATTTTCCTCATGATTAATATATTCTGTTATAATGTTCATTGATACAAAACTGACTTATCCTTTCATCATAATTACATTTCTAAAAAAGATGAACTATTTAAACGACATTGAGAAATGATACAATTTGATAATAGAATAAATAAATCTTTAATATGATAAACATATGCTGAATAAATCAAGAATCATTTAAAGAGAAAACAGTTAAGAGAATAACAAATGTAAGATTTGGAATTTTCATCAACTAGATAATGTCCTATCAACAACTTTAGCATTTCAATGTATATTAAACTATTTTTTAGGATACATCCATATTTTTATTGAGAAATGTTATATATATATTGTGAATCATTTTGACATTTTGTAATTAAAGTGAGTGTTGTATTATTTCATTAGTTATTTGTATGTACTAATATTGTTTATATAAAGATTTATAAGTATAGAGTTATTAACATCATTCTTACTTACTTACACCTTTTACCCTTCACAGAGAGAGGAGCATAGTTCGTTTACCAGCATTCTCTATCCAACCCTATTCTGAACATATTAGCATTATATAGACAAATATTGTTTTCTAGTTAATCTGCCAACATTTTATAATATAAATTTTATATACACAAATAAATTTCCTAGTTTTGTTAATCAAGAAAAAGATATAGCTAGAATAAACATGTTTGGATTGATTATATAAGATCAAAACAACAAGTAAATCCATAGTGTATAATTCAATAAGAATCATTAAAATATACCATAGATGATTTAACCTGAAAATAATTTTGTTAGAATTAAAGTTGAATTTTATGAAACTGCCTTCAATGAATAGTCGGAACCCTAAAAATCGTTTGATCACAAAAAATCAACTGTAAGAAGATTGATTATATTTTCCTTAAAGTTTTTTTGAATATACGTTAATTGCTTCGAGTAACGTTTGTGAAATATTTAGTACTGATTTATTAGATTTTTATTATTCTCAAACTGAACATAATGCTTTTGAATACGGATAGATTAAAAGCAGGAAAAACGGTTGAGTTTTACAATGAACAAAAGTGCAACTATTCTATGTTGGATCTCATGAAATAAAATGTAGCTAATTCTCACGATGTCTGAAAATGAACAAAAAACAGATAAAGATATGACAATATTTTTCAAAGGATTTTTGGTAGATCTTTGATTTTTCACTTATGCTTTTTAACTGCACTAACAATTCTAGACAGAACAGTTACGGTCACCAGTTAAAATGCATCAACAAAGATTCTAGCAGAAGAGCATGAATTCATTTTATTTCGTAGGTTCTCGTCAGCTGCTTACAACCTGTGATATTTAAAAATCATAATTGCATAATGGATTTAAATTGCTTACAGAATATTGTAAATATATACCTAGTGTGAAAGAATATTCTACAACATTAATTGTGACAACAGTTCAAAAATCGGTTAGAAACAATTGATTACATAATGAATAAACATTGATAGGAATATAGTGATTAGAGTTCAGTTGAAAGATTATTAATTTGAAAGATAGTTGAAAAAATAAATTAGAACCAATGATGTAATAAATGCAACAGAAAAAAGAGGAAAAAAAAGAAAAGACATTTACATTTTACAACCGGATAAAGGTTCAGGTGTTGTCTTATTGAATACAGCTGATTATGTCAATCCTCGACGACCAACTGAGGTTCAAAGTCGATAAATCCAAAAAAGATTTGACTGATTCAACAGAAAAACGAATCACAGGCATGCTTAGAGAACTCCTAAAAAAGAAAATGATTGATAATTCTACTTACAACGATCTAAAACCACGTGGTTCACGTCTACCTCATATGTATGGCTTACCAAAAGTTCACAAACATGACGTTCCTCTTAGACCTATCTTATCAATGATCAACTCACCATATCATAAAGTCGCACTCTGGTTAGCAGAAAAACTAGAACCGGTTCGTCGTAGATTAGCAACATATACGTTAAGAGATTCATTCCAGTTTGCTGAAAGACTAAATCATACGAATGTTAACGACAAGTTCATGGTCTCTTTTGATGTAACATCCTTGTTCACCAATATACCTCTTTTTGAAACTATTGATATAATTTGTCAGAATGAAGATCTCCTACCTTTACCAGCCCCAGAATTCAAAAAACTACTACTAATATGTACAACAGATGTTCAATTCCAATTTAACAACACCATATATCGCCAAGTCGATGGCGTAGCAATGGGTAGTCCACTAGGTCCAATTATGGCAGATATTTTTATGGGGTATCTTGAGAACACGATACTTAAACAGGCAATTAGTGAAACAACGCAATACTCAAGATATGTGGACGACACATTTATTATCTGTAATAATAAACAACATGCAATCCGCCTGCTCAAACTCTTCAATAACGCTCATAATAACATACATTTTACTATGGAGCACGAACAGAACGATATGTTCCACTTTCTTGATGTTGCCATAAAACGCAGGGGAGACGGGACGGTTCAACGTTCAATTTATAGAAAAAGTAATTGGAATGGCCTCTACCTGAATTTCAATAGTTTTTGTCCAATTAGTTACAAGAAGGCGTTGGTTAAAACACTATTTTACAGGGCAGAAAAGATATGCACCACCGACAAACTGGAAGAAGAATTAATGAACGTAGAAAAATGCCTAAAAGACAACTTTTATCCACAAAAATTTATTGACAAATATAAAAGGCCCAAGGAAAAGAAGACGGAAATAACTATGGTCAATAAAAAACCAGTATATATAAATCTTAACTTTAAAGGTGATGACGTCGCACAAATTATCAACAAGAGACTGAATACAGCGCTAGCCAGAACTTATCCGGCTGCTAAACTTTTAATTCTCTATAAAACAACATGTTCAATAACCCAATCAAAGATCGACAAGCAACCCTTTCATGTTACCGCCAACTGTATTTATAAATTTACGTGTACCTGCCAAAGCAGCTACATCGGCCGAACTGAAAGGAGAGCATATCTTAGATTCTTTGAACATGTTCCAAAAAGTCTTAGAACAAGGGAAAGAAAGACTCTGAACAGTGCGATCACCAAACATCTCCTTGATACAGGACATCAGGTAGATACCTTACAATCCTTTAGGGTGATTAATAGGCAGCCAAACTCCAGTCTTCTGAAGTTTGCTGAAGCCATTGCCATCAGGCGACAAAAACCTGACCTATGTATTCAAAAGGAGACGGTGGTTAATCTTTCCTTACCCTGGTGACAAATATTCCTTCACTGAACCTTAAAATTTTTTTTTCTTTTTTTTCCTCTTTTTTCTGTTGCATTTATTACATCATTGGTTCTAATTTATTTTTTCAACTATCTTTCAAATTAATAATCTTTCAACTGAACTCTAATCACTATATTCCTATCAATGTTTATTCATTATGTAATCAATTGTTTCTAACCGATTTTTGAACTGTTGTCACAATTAATGTTGTAGAATATTCTTTCACACTAGGTATATATTTACAATATTCTGTAAGCAATTTAAATCCATTATGCAATTATGATTTTTAAATATCACAGGTTGTAAGCAGCTGACGAGAACCTACGAAATAAAATGAATTCATGCTCTTCTGCTAGAATCTTTGTTCTTGCTCTTTTCAAAGTTATAAAGGGAACTATGTGTATAAAATGCATCAATTTAAACGGTTTTATGGTAGTTGACATTTCTGTAAGAATAAACATACAGCCTAAATGAAGTTTTGTTTTCATTGAGAGCCTGTTATCTTACTTGATACTTTGAAATAAACATACATTTGCTGAAACTAGGGTTAAGTGTTCATAGTAGGATGTTAATACTAGCAATATCGTAGTATCAAAATGGCAAACGATTGATTATAATCATGAAATTTGAGAATAGATTAGTTCCTCATTACAGAAATTATATAACTGTAAATTTTCTATCTTAAGTTTCGGTTTCAAGCTTACTAAATTCCGTAATTTCTAATAGTAAGGTGGCTGGGAAGTGTTACTCCGTAAATTTGAAAATATTGTCGTCTATAGTGGCGTGGCTGCTATTGATCTGTTTTATTAATTATGTTAATTGATTATAGTGTAGGTTTTCTTTCATTGATAAATAAAAACAATGACTTGTTACGATCTCAAGGTAATTGAATATAGATTCCGAGATATTGTAGTTTACTAGGCATATGAACAGATTTTTGGATTTCGCATGATATCTTATCCATGGAAAACTTTTCCGTGTACTTTACGCCAACGTCTAAGTTATCCGTCAACTACGGACGTTTCCTATTGACATTAGAAATAATCTTGTAATACTAACCATTATTGGTAATTGAGTCCAGACGAGACACTAATTTTCTGTCAGATCACTGAAATATCCTTCAAATCTTAATTTCATGTTAGGGTAGATACCTTATTAATGAACGATTTGTTAATATTGCAGATTACCGTAAAATAATTTAGCCTTTCATACTATATGCTTCAGTACAATTTTCCGACACTATACTTATTTAAGACTCCGAGTAACAATGTACAAAAGTTTTGGATTACTAACATAAGTAAATGGAGAAAAGAAACACACAGAAACCAGTATTATATCTCATGTATTAGACAATGATCACGTAACTAGAATCATAGTACAAGTTGATTACCTTGATTTTTCCAAGACTTACTTGAATATTCTAAAAAATGAACAGCGAATCAACAACTCAAATTTCAAAGGTAACTCTTTTTATGATTAGTATCAACTGAAAATTTTATAGTTTATTTATAAACAACCACATATTATGGTTTTAAAATGTTTCCGGCCTGGATTTTGTATCCGAGAGAATAGTGTAATAAAAACCTATTTAAGCTGGTGAAGATTATTTTCAATAAATATTTTAAGCTTCTATGTATTCTTATCCCTACCCACCTAATGATTGTCACTTTTCAATCTAGATTTATCTCAATTATAACTTATGACTGTATAGACGATTACCTTGAAATTATGATTTATAGTTATTATGCCCACGGTCCACTTAATTTAGGTAACTAGATTTTTAACAAAGAAAAATTACATTGATTAAAATCATGAGTCAGTTCAAGCTAGACCACCATGGAAAACCTGGAAGCATTTGGTGGAAGTTTCGTCCCGGCATGGGACTCCTCAGCAGTGCGCATCCACGATCCCGCACCCTGCGGGATTCGAACCCAGGACCTACTAGTCTGTTGTGAGATATCAATTCACTGAAGACAATGGTGTACGGTGGTGCAATTTCGTGGATTGGTTGAAGTTAGACATTAACATCGTTGGATGCCGGCTCAGTGGTCTAGTTGGTTAAGCGCCTGGCGCGAGACTGATAGGTGCTGGGTTCGAACCTCGCGGGGTGCGGGATCGTGGATGCGCACTGCTGAGGAGTCCCATACTAGGATGAAACAGCCGTCCAGTGCTTCCAGGTTTTCCATGGTGGTCTAGCTTCAATTGACTCATGATTTCAACTGTTGAAATTTCTAAAATCTCCACAAAACCCATTCTGATAAAAGAAAAACTAATCACATTCACTCAATATGGTTATTCGAATAAACTGTTTTGTTTACAGTAATTTTCTTTTTGAAACATTCATTTCAGCTTAAACATTTTTAAAATTTCTAT